TCTAACTTTGCTGAGGTCATAGCAGAAATAATTCTTACAGCCACCCACCCAGCCTCGTAGACAATGAGACCCTTACTCATAATCCAAAACCCTTCGTCCGACCCCCCAGGCACAACTTGCTCCCCAACTCTGGCGATGGTTACCCTTCCACTGCTAGCACTAGACCCAGAAGACATTGAAATCGAAAAAGATGGAATGAATGGAGGATGGAAAATAGATAAATTACCTAAAATAAAGAAAAGCTCTAGGAATGTGATGTCGTCGGAGAACAAAAATGATCGAAAAGTTTTTAAATGCTGGAGATAAAGCACAGCCATTGGATCAAGATCCACTCAATTCTAACCTCAGTTGAGACGTTTAATTCAAACAGTTTTGTTATTAACGCCTCAGATTAATGCATGCTTCTCATGCAAGAATCTTAGCACATCAGTCTCAAAAGGCAGCAGTGCGACCATCATTGCGCATTCAATATATAACGACTGTACGTGTATTGAATGCATGGCTACGTGGAGTGCATAAGACCTACCGAAATCCCCTTGCAATCGAAGCACTTTCACCGAAGCGGTCTCATGGAAGGGACCAACCGAAGTGGCGAGCTCAAGGAGGTTAAATCCGAATATCTTCCACGATGAATGACGACCCACCTTTGAAGATCCTTAATTCATAAAATCCTGTTTGAATGATTGAACTGACTCATGCAATGAGTAATATGTTGAAGTCTTGTCAATATAAGTTGTGGGGTGACTGTCCCTTTTTGAGAACATTTAATGCGCTACATGCTAGTTGAGACAAACTGATGTCTAGATTAAGATGTTTCGGTTAAGGAGATGAGGCCACGCGTCCTCTTATCCAATGGACACAATTTCACATGTAATACTATAAATACCTCACATTTGTGTCATTTGGAGGTAATACAAATACATTTACTGTAAGCTATAATTTTTTTCCCCTCTCGAGTTAAATCTTTGGTTGCTAAAGTTGGATGTTTGATCTTATCGTGTAATTCCACTCATATATCGTATCGGTACCTGAACATATTTGTCTCGTGTTATAAAGTTTCTCCCATGTTCAAATTCGAAATATCGTCAATTAGTAATCTGTCCATACATGTTGAAATTAGTTTATGTGGACACGAGTTGGCCCGAAATCTATTGTACACGTCAATAGTACAAAATGGAGGTCAACAAATGCTGCTTCTTAAAATCCTTTCTCAAATGATATAGACTCTTTCATAATCAATTTTTCTAAAATTTATCTTATACCTAAAACAACTTCTAATTAATTGACAAGCAGAAATTGTTCAAAAAGCGATAACTAACGGGAACTTAGAAATGTGTAAAAAGTAGGTTTAAACAAAACATTTATCATTTTTAAATAGCAAACAATTCATACTTAAAAGTCTTAGAAACATTATATAGCATGCGACTTATATAACAAAAATAAAAACGAAGAGAAGGAAATGGCAAACCGAATAAACGCTAAACAAAATTGCAGAAAACAGTAGATTGAGGCTAGAGTTCGACTCTATTTCCTTAAGACGATTTTGGCCTGCTACGGTGCTTACAGTTGACGCCAATCGCCTCCCAAGATACAACAATCTTTCACTTGCGGTGTAGAAGCACTCTAACAGCAAGAAC